AGGCTTCTGGCCATATAAAGCTTCATAGGGATTGCATTTAATAGTGGAATAATAGGTAGTGTTATACCACCACTCTGCCAAGGGCAAGTACTTGGACCAATCCTTAAGACTATCTGAACAAAAACACCTCAAATATGTCTCTAAAGTTCTATTCAGCACTTCTGATTGACCATCTGTCTGTGGATAGTATGCTGTAGATCTCTGCAATTGTACTCCTTGAAGAGAGAAAAGTTCTTGCCAAAAAGAACTCAAGAAGACTGGGTCTCTATCACTAGTCATGGTAAGAGGCATACCATGGAGCTTGAAGATTTGATCAAGGAAGCTTTGGGCCACAGTTTGAGCAGTATAAGGATGTTGCAAACTCAAAAAATGCCCATATTTTGTCAATCTATCTACTACTACCAGAATAACTTCCTTGCCATGTGACTTGGGAAGGCCTTCAATAAAATCTAGACAAATATCAGTCCAAACACCTGTAGGAATTGGTTAGGGCTGTAATAAGCCAGGTGAAGCAGCAGCGTCATATTTATGTCTTTGACAGACATCACACTTGTTGATAAAGTCTCTAACATCTGCAACAAGAGATTTCCAATAAAATAAGGATTGTAACCTCTTAATAGTGGCATCCATACCAGAATGGCCCCCCTGAGTAGTACTATGCCACAGGGTAATAATTTTCTTCTTCAACTGCTGATCATTGCCCACAACTAATCTTCCCTTCCATCTAAGTTAGTTGTTAAACCAAGTGTAGGACTTGTAAGGTTGAACTTGTAGTTTAGCTATTAACTCCTGTAGCATTGGATCACTGCTCCATGTTGATTTAATCTGTGCATATAAGGAATCATTAGGAGTTAGTAAAGAAATAGCTAAAAGTTCAGCAGCTGGTTTCCTTGATAATGCATCTGCAACCTTGTTCTCTGACCCCTTCTTATACTCAATAATGAAATCAAATGCCATTAACTTGGAGATGCCAGCCACTTGGAAATCAATATGCACTTGTTGTTCCAATAAATGCTTCAATGCCTTCTGATCTGTCTTAACAATGAAATGATTGCCCATTAGGTAATGTGACCACTTAGTAACAGCAAAAATAAGAGCCAGTAATTCTCTATCATAGACTGATAGAGCCTGATGCCTGGGAGCTGGGGATTTACTTATGTAGGCAATAGGATGCCCTTGCTGCATCAACACAGCTCCAATCCTCTTGCCACTAGCATCTGTTTCTACTGTAAAGGGTTTAGAGTAGTCAGGCATAGCTAATACAGGAGCAGAAACTAGGGCCTGCTTCAAACTCTTGAATGCAGTAGTAGCTTCATCATTCCATACAAAGCTATCCTTCTTCAGTAGATCATGAAGTGGTCTACAAATAGTCCCAAAGCCTTGAATGAATCTTCTATAATATCCTGCAAGACCTAAGAATCCCCTCAACTGTTTGATGTTAACAGGTATAGGCCATTCCTGTACAGCAGCAATTTTCTTTGGGTCTGTAGATACTCCCTTAGCACTGATAAAATGACCAAGATACTCGACCTTAGCCACTCCAAAGGCACATTTTGACATCTTGGCATATAGTTGATGTTGCTTCATAAGTTCAAACACAGCCTTCACATGATCCACATGAACAACCACATTCTTACTATAAATCAAAATGTCATCAAAGAATACCAATACTGATTTCCTCAACAATGGCTTAAAAACAGCATTCATTAAACTCTGAAATGAAGAAGGTGCATTGGTTAACCCAAAGGGCATTACCAAAAATTCATAATGTCCCTCATGAGTTCTGAATGCAGTTTTGTTGATGTCTCCTTCAGCCATTCTCAACTGATGATAACCAGCTCTAAGATCTATTTTGGAAAAAATATTAGCTCCACTTAATTCATCAAGCAAATCCTCAATCATGGGAATAGGGAACTTATCTTTAATAGTCATTTGATTCAAACTCCTATAATCCACACACAGCCTCCAACTACCATCCTTCTTCCCCACTAACACTACAGGAGATGCATATGGACTGGTATTATGCTGTATTACCCCTTGGTCTAGCATTTCCTGTACCAATTTCTCAATTATATCCTTCTTGATTCCCGGATATCTGTAAGGTCTCTTGTTAACACGATTAGAAGCTTCCTTAAGAGGTATTCTGTGATCATAAAGCCCCCTGTGAGGTGGTAAGCTAGTAGGTAATTCAAAAATACAGGCATATTGTTTAATAAGAGCTGTTAAATCTGGTAAGGGATCAGTTCTTGGTGTAGCTTGTATATTGTGGCAATAGGTGTCCTCATCTCTACTGGCCACTAATGACATCATGAAAAATTGTGCATCTGCTCCCTCTTTCTTTATCAAACTTTTAGCTTTAGCAGCTTTAAGCTGATCATTTGCTCCCCTAAGAACATGCTTCTTTCCTTGATACATGAATTCAATAGTCCTCTTTTTAAAGTCAAACAATTTCTTCCCAATGTATTCAAACATTGCACACCCAAAACAATATCTATATTTCCTAATGGTAGTAGTAGGAAGTCAGAGGAAAAAGTGGTACCTTGTAATAACCACTGCAAATCCTTACAAACTGAAGCAGTCTGCACCTTTCTTCCATCTGCTACACTGACAGATTGCTTCTGAATAGAGCAAGCTTTGCAGCCTAATCTTGCAGCTACTTCCTCATCAATAAAATTGTGAGTACTCCCAATATCTATCAACACTTGTAGAGGCTTCTTCTCATGGTATCCCGTAACTCTAATATTTTGATAACCTGCTGCACCTGTAAATGCTTGTAAGGAAATGGCCATAAACTCATTTGAATCCCCCAATAATTCTTGCATATCATCTTCTGTTTCCTCTACTTCCACTCCTTCATCTTCTGTCACCTCTACTAAGTATATTTATTTGTTACTCTTACACTTGTGACCTGGTACATACTTATCATCACAGAAGAAACATAATCCCTTCGATCTCCTCTCATCCATTTCAGCTGTGCTCAATCTCCTACCAGGAAGTCTAGTGTTGTTAGTAAGGTTAAGTTCAAAAGGCTTTTTGTTAGTGGAGTTTGGTAATAGGTTTTTTTGGTTATACTGGAGTTTATTGAGATTAGGAGTAGGTAATATGCCAGTGTTGGTTCTAATGACAGGCTTGATTCCCCACGATTGAGCTTGAGCCTCAAACACCCCCTCCTGTAATCTTGCAATTCTGTAAGCTTGTAGCAATGTTCTAGGTGATTGAATTCTCACAGCTTTATTCAATTCTGGTTTAAGGCCTCCTAAAAAATAACTAATTGCATTTTCATTAGACAAGTTAACCCCAGTCAACAACCTATCAAATTCTGCTTGATAATCCTTAACACTACCAATTTGTTGCAGATTTTTTAAAGCTTCCATATGATCTTCAAATCCCTCTCCAAACCGTTCATTTAAGGCTAATACATACTCAGTCCAAGTAGGTTCTAACACTGAGTTCCTAGAATTCATATATGACCCATGCCAAGCAATAGCTTCTCCATCAAAATGAATAGAAGCTACCTTAACCCATCAAAAGCTACTTCATCCATAGAGAAGAACTGATCTACTTTATACAGCCAATTCTTCAAATCACAACCAGAAAATCGAGGAAATTCAAGTTTAGAGTATCGAGTGAAAAAGTTACCATTAGCAGTTACACTATGGTGACCATCTCTGATCCTTCCTTCACGTTGCTCCATTAAACCAGCTCGATCATTAGAAGATTATGCTCTAACTTGTTCCTTTTCCTTCCCTTTCTGATTCATAGCTCCCATATATTCCTTCAGTTCTAGTAATTCCTTGTCAGTTTGTACATTACGCTCGTTTATAATCATCATCCCATCCATCAACTTCTGCAATTGATCGTTAATGGCTGTCAGTTTCTCTTCTAATTCTTCAATAGATTTCTCTGAATTTTTGCTACGCGTCATGACAAAAGATGCCAAGGACGTGAAGCTCTGATACCAAATGATGCAATGAAACAGAAAAACAGAGGAAAATAGTAATTCTAGGAGCTGAAGCTCGAAGAAGGTGATGGCTATGTCAGGCAACTGCGAGAGTATAGCTCAAGAGAAGAGAGAATCGAGAGAGAAGATTGTATTAACTTCCAAAAGTGTATCTCCATTACATTTGATTCAGCTATATAAGCTCATTTAGAAGAATCTAGAATACAATCTGTTAAGCTAACTTCTAACTGATTGTAACTGTCGCAACTACTTGTAACTAACTTGCCACATCAGCTAACTAACTATGCCAACTCAGCTGCCAGCTCGAAACAATGCAGCTTCGTCTTCTGCTTCTTTTCTTCTTCTACTGCTTGACTCTTTAACGTGTATCACTTTCTTGTTTGTTTTCCGTTTCACAGTCATCTTTTTTCTCTTCTTCATACACATCGAATTGTATGCGGCAATTTATCCCAAAACCCTTAAATCATAGTAATAGCTGATTAGTGAATTGTATGTGGCAATTTCTCTTCTTCATGCACATCGAATTGTATGCGGCAATTTATACTCCCAAAACCCTTAAATCATAGTAATAGCTGATTAGCGAATGTATGCGACAATTTCTCTTCTTCATGCACATTGAATTGTATGCAGAAATTTATACTCCCAAAACATTAGAAATTTTAATGGGATGGGGAAGAGAATGAGATGTATCAAAGTAGAGAGAAAGAAAATTATGTAACTGATTAGCGTATTTGGTGGCTTAGGGCTAGGAAGTAACCAAAATTAAATATTTTGCTATAAACCTTAAAAGGTATCTATAAAATATAATTTTTTTAAATAGTATTTATTTAAAGTAAATAAGGTGTTAACCTTTGCTATAGGAGGTAAAAATTCCTTTCTTTTTGAGTTTCCAAATAGATGATCCGAACGGCCAAGCCTAACTATGCCAAAGCTCAATTTGACAGTAGCATGTGTAGGTACAAGTCCCAAATCCAATGCACATTTAAGCTTCCACCATGAGAATTTGCTAGTTATCGTATTATGAATAGCAAAGAGAAGCTTTGACCAAAATGAAAACCATCAAAATACTCAAATCAGAAAATACTACAAAATGCATATCAAAGCTGCAGAACCAGCAGTCAAAAATGAGACATGCTCACAAGCCTATAAGAAGAGCTCTCTCAGTTCAGAACACTGTTAAAACACCTCGCAACAAAAAAACTATTTGAGTCTGCTATTATTTCGCAGGGTCACATACTACAAAGGAATTTTATTTGGCAGAACAAGTACTCCTCCACATGTCACATTCAACAGTGCAAATTTAGTAGGGCTCGACAGGCTTGCGGAAGCTTGCTCCAGCATACACAGCGTCTGATCCAAGTTCCTCTTCAATCCTCAAGAGCTGCATGGATAGAAAACAAAAACTCAGAACTGTAGAAAGACTATAGAAGTGCAAGGGATGTAACTTCTAGAAAACGGAACCACATTTTGTTGACAAGTGAAAGAGAATTAACATTTTTTGTTGCAAGAGTAAAGCTAATGGCAGTCCACTTGAGGGATAATTACCTGGTTGTACTTGGCGAGACGCTCTGACCTGCAAGGAGCTCCAGTCTTGATTTGTCCCTGAAAGTTTCCAGGAAAACTCATTAACACCCGAAACTGGTATAAATAAAATCCACAGATACCATTGATTATCATGACCAAGAATGCTTAGAAACAAAATTACCGTTGACAATCCCACGGCGAGATCAGCAATGAAGGTATCTTCTGTTTCTCCACTGCAACAATTAATTATAGGATCATTAGCTAAGTTTTATGAAATAATATAAGCATGACTACTAGGATAGTTTTTTTCTATTCCAAGTGTTATTGCTAGAGATAATTCTGTATTTACCTGCGGTGACTGGTCATTACACCCCAACCTGCCTGCTTAGACATTTTCACAGCTTCGATACTCTCGGTCACACTGCCAATTTGGTTAACCTGTCGCACATAAGAGTAAGAAATTGTTAATCCAATCTCGAAGTCAAAGAGGAAACTTTAAGTATCATGGCCGAAATATATGATTTATTAGCCGGTTGGATGATACCTTGAGGAGAAGTGCATTGCAAGTCTTCTCTGCAATTGCCTTGGCGACCCTCTGCACATATATAATAAATAGTTATACATGGTGATAAACAACCTATAGAAAATTGCTTAAGTGCCAAGAACTGAGAGATGTATACATTTTCTTTCAATGGACAAGCAAGTGACAAATGTTGTTAACGCTTTAATCTTACCTTAGGGTTGGTGACAAGGAGGTCATCTCCCACAATTTGTACTTGTTCCCCCATCTCAGTAGTGAGCTTAGCATAGGTCTCCCAGTCATCTTGGTCAAATGGATCTTCAATTGAAACAATAGGGTACTCGGACACAAACGTCTTGTACAAATCCTTGAGTTGGTCACCTGATATCTTTTGTGAGCCATCATTGCTCTGCAAATAAGAATAAATATGAGCAAATCTCACTAACATAGCAACAGTTTGATCACATGACTACCTCCAAAAAAACACAGAAAGTGAAAGAAAACAATACAACACTCAGTTTCAAATTGCCTATAGGGAATAGTAAGGACTTGCCTCTTCTTTGAAGTTCAAGTCGTAACTTTTGTCCTTCAAGAAGAATTCAGATGCAGCAACATCCATTCCAATGACCACCTAAACGGAAACTCATCTCAGCCTCCAGGTTTCCAACAACAGTTATGAAAAAAAATTATGGTGTGACTCAACAAGTAACTGAGATACTCACCTTTCCAGTATATCCTGCTTTCTCAATGGCTGTCTTGAGCAATTCAAGTCCTTCCTTGTTCTCCTGAATTTTCAAAAATCATAATCATGTGAATGAACTAGGGTAAACATTCAACAGAATTGTAATACACCAGCATAAGAATATACTTCACCTGGATGTTAGGAGCAAAACCACCCTCATCACCAACATTTGTGGCATCCTGACCGTATTTCTTCTTGATCACGGCCTGCAGATACAGTATAATTGTTTAATCAGAAAAACAAAGACAAAGAGAGGACGAAAAACAATATAAAAAATTTAAACTAAATTATGAGCCTGAATGGAACCAAAGAAACCAATCATTCCTCTTAATTCAAAGCATGTCTACTTGTTTTGATCGTGTAAAAAAACGATGTTTAGAGGTAATAGAAGTTGTCTCAAACCTTCAAGTGGTGATACACTTCACAACCCATTTTCATGGCCTCCTTGAAACTAGAAGCTCCAGTGGGAAGGATCATAAATTCCTGCAAAATAACTACCAATCAGAAACTTTCATCTAAATAGCACTCAGATACATAGTGGAGGCAGATAAATGACATGCCTGCATTGCAAGTTTGTTTCCGGCATGTGATCCACCATTAATGACATTGAAGGCAGGAACTGGCAACACCAACTTCTTGTTACCAGCCAGATCAGCAATGTGCTGCAACACAAAGAGGCAGTTTAAAATAAGAAAACATATGATCGCAGATTAATCCAATTGCAAATATAGCCTTAATATGTGCTAGTAGCCCATACAACTTATGGTACCCAAACATGGAAAAGATTAAAGATCCATGCAGCTTCGGCATTGCCAATTGAGCGAGGATTCAATAGTGATGTAAAGCTCTTAAGGTGTAGTAACTCTTAGAGCGTGCAGTAGACTCCACGAAAGACAATTCTTTAGTATATACCTTGTATAGTGGAACATTCCTTGCAGCAGCACCAGCTTTACACACAGCAAGTGATACAGCTAGGATGGCATTTGCACCAAGCTGAAGAAAATCCAAATACAGTGAAACTAATGAACAATGAACTTTTGATAATAGAAGAGTGAACTTGATACTTAGGCATTAACATGAATACCTTTTGTTTGCACCAACCCCACTCATTTTGAGTTCCATCTAATTCATGAACCATGAAGTTATCAAGACCAGTCTGATCAGTTGCATCCTGCAAAATAATAATCCTTGTATTTAAGGTACCATTTAATCTATCAAACAATGGAGAAACAAACATAAAAACAACTTAACAAGGAAAAAGTCTATTAAAATAAAGATAATCAACTAGGGAAAAACCACAAACCTTGCCGATGAGAGCAGGGCCAATGATTGAGTTGACATTGTTAACAGCCTACATGGACGACCAGAGTAAAATAATTTAATCAGCATTGAGAAGTATATTCATCAATCTAAAGCTTTAGAGTGAAACACCAACCTTTGAGACACCCTTTCCAAGGTATTCAGACCCTCCGTCCCTCAATTCAAGGGCTTCATAGATTCCTATAAAACAAATCAAGAGGATAAATTCAATAGACCGAAAACAATGGGAGAAACAACAAAAGAAGACACAGTACCGAAAATGTTAACAGTGTTTAACACAGAACTGAAGGAAGCTAAGATTCAAATTATCACCCAAATTGAACTATACACAAATCTTAACGAACTTCCCCTCAAGAAGATTAATTATCTTCATATAACAGATGCCATAAACACATAAGTGTTTAAAATTTTCCGGAAGATTCAGTCTCACTAAAACTACTGATTCTCTAAAAATTTATCCAAACAAAAAGTACTGATTCTATAAAACATATATACTGAAATATAAAGGGTCAGTTTCACTCCATTTGCCACATATGGGCATAATAACTCATAATAGAAAAGGTGAAACTACTAAACTGACAGCCAATTAATAAACCAGAAACTAAGATTTCAATTATATGAGTAACTTAACGAACAGATTACACATCTGCATACAGATTTTCAACACATTCTCATAAATCTATGTAAGAGAGTCACTATACACAAAAGATAAGTAGATCTTTACCTGTGGATGCACCACTAGGAACAGCAGCTCTTGCAAATATACCGTTTGAAAGAGTTACATCAACCTACACATATACACAACAACCAACCAAATCAATACATCTCAAAAAACAACCATATCTACATTTCTACAAAACAGATATAAACAACACTTGTCTATACACATAACCAATCACTCCTAAAAACAACCTCCTTTGAAAATCGAAATAAAACGCACAAAACTATAGTAAAAACAAGCGATTTAACAAAATCAGAAAAAAAATCCGGAATCTTCAAACAGATCGAAAAAAAAGGATTAAAACATAGAAAAATACTGAAAAAAAGACGGAGATCTGAAGGAAAACAAACCTCAACGGTAGGATTACCACGGCTGTCAAAGATCTGACGGGCCTTAACGATTTTGATAGTTGCCATAGATCTGTTAAAGAGAGAATAGGTGTAGTAAAGAGTGTTGAGAGAAAAAGTTGGTTTTTTGCAATGAGCAGAGGATGAGAAGCGATACCACGTATATGTAGAGGAAGCTGGGTTAATTACAGCCGTTGATTTGGTTTTATGATCTTGATTAGTATTTTCATATATTAGTACTACTAATTTCTTATTTTTTAATTAAATTAATTGGGCAAAAAAATATTTTTTAAATCTATGTGCTTTGTAAACCCCCTCGAGTGTGTCGACATATTGTTACTTCTAGATCTAGGGTGGGTTCCAATGAAGAAAAGTCGTTATATGTTTTTGTCTTTTTTCAAATGTACAAATATATTAATTCAATTTTATTTAGTGAAGTGAAGGATTTAGTAAATTCCTTAGTATTTAGGAAAGATTATAATGTTAATGATAGTTTTAGAGAAATTTTATAGAATTAATGGATAACTATAATTAGATACAAATTGAGATTCCATTAGTATTGTAAAAGGTTTTGGTCGACGAATAATGTTACTATTTCGGGAGTTAAGACACTTTATTCTTTGATAATAATTTTCTCAAGAAAATTAAATATTTTAAATATTAATCATAATAATTTATTACTGATCATGTAATTTTAAATGTAAAAAAAATTGATGTAAAAAGCTTAAAGAATTTATGTTTGAATTTACATAAAAATTTAGGTTCTTTAACTCTCATATTGTGAATCCTTTTACATAAATTAGGAGGGAGAAAGTAAATATTATTCGTTGATCCTCATTATTTTTCAAGTAAATAAAATTACATTATTTATAAATTATCAGACGTAGTAGAAATTAGCATATATGACGATATTAGTGCAAAATACACCTAAATTAGACGTATATAACAGTATTTATTTTACTTTAGTTTCTTTTTTTTTTTCTTTTGTAATAAAGTGCTTTTTCATGCTATGCTCAAATTTGTTAGTTAAACTAATTTCTTATACTATGGAATGCTATGATTTTTTGTTCTTGATTATTAATTTAATTTATGCAATCTTATAGATGTGGAAGATAAATAACCCTATTTAGGAGAGACACTACTTTCTTATATACTTTCACCGAGTCATTCCAAAAATATAATTACTAGCAACATTTTGGCTAAAAACAATGTACAAAAAGAAAAATCATAAAATAACATACATTTCATTATTGGGCAATGTGGTCAAAAAGAAGGAAATTCAAATTAAAACTGCAAGTGGTTTCTTGGGCTACAAGCAGGGACATAGCATGTTGTTTTGAATTCGGTCGAATCGAGTAGCGCTGGTTTAGACTTTATATTTATCTTAAAACATACATCGATGTATTAAAATTATTAATTTAAAATTCAATAATTTAAATAGATTAAAATTTCAAACCCATAATATTCAATTTCTGGCTCCGGCTCTGACACTCGAGACTGATGAAACTGCCTACTTCAAAATTCACGAGAATATTCCTCCAAATGGTGCCATTGTACCATTGGTCTTATTTCGTGGGGTCACAAGAAAAATGCAAAGAGTTAGATTATCAAAATTGACACGAGAGAATTACCACTCTTAGTAGGCGTTTGGACATGAATTCTAAATTTTATTTTTTAATTTTGGAATTTCACTAAAATTTGAATTGAAGATGGAGTTGTGTTTGATTATAATTTTTGCAATATATTTGGATGTTTTTTTTTTCAAAACTGTCAAGGATGATTTATACCCGACAACTTGTAAAAAATATCAAAATCATCCCAATTTGATTATCTTACTTGAAATAAACAATCAAAATGTTATGGTTTAACTGTTATCATATTCTGCTTTACTATAATACACTGAAGATGCAAAATCAATATCACACTTTGTAATTCTACTAACACACAGAGAAGGTGCAAGAGCAGGCATAACCACATATTTCTCATAACCATATAATCAAACTTCCAGTAGGTAGAGTTCAAGTATCAACTAGGACTAATGCTCCAGCATCAGTTGCCAAAGATGTATTTGCCAAAGATGAAAAATTGATGGGGTCATTTTATAAATTTTAAAAATATAGGGTAAATTTATAAAACTAAAAACTAGCAAATTCTCATTTTCAATTGAAAAACTGGTGAGAACCAGTTTTTCAAATTTGAAAATAGATTTTCAAGTAAAAAAGGAAAAATTGGTAAGAATGGGATAACCAAACATTGTTTTAAAAAAAAAATTGGAAAAAAGAAAAAATTTTGTATGTCCAAACGGGCTCTTAATATTTTTCCTTACTTTAAATTTTCCATTATAAATTTTAAAAGTCCAGAGAAATAATCGTTCTAATAACAAATTAGACCTTTTAAAGATATCATATAATTTTTTCACAAAGCAAAAAATGAAAAATATAATATAAAATAAATAAAAGAGAATATAGAAAGAAAAAAAAGATAAGAAAGGTGGAAATCATGCCTTTTGACCTTTCAATTCGATTCTATTTCTCCTGTTTCTTTTTCCGCAAGAAAAAAAGAGAGGATTAATTAATTAATCCTTTTTTTTTGCCTTGAACCAGAAGTTCCATAAAAGATAAAAAGAATTCCTTTTTATAATAAAGGATATTTAGAAAAAAGAAATGTATAGCAATAGTGGAAAAAACAATTATTTAATGAATGGAAAGTATATGTAGGAAAGTAGGCAATAATAATGGGTATAATTTATTACAACTTTAGGCGTGGTTTGGCTCGTCATACCTTACAGTAGCAATTTTATAATATTTTTCTTTCTGATAGCAATTTTTTAATAATATAGCCACAAAAGAAAGCCATGAAATTAATCACTTTTCAAATACATGCACCTTTAGTCAACCTCAAGAGTGAAGGCCATTTTCGCACACCTTTTCTTCCACCTACCTCTATGACGTTTTCCTTCTTTATTTTCATCTTTTTTGGGGGTTCTATCATTAGGACCTCAAACTTGGCCTCAGCCGGTAAGTATGCCTTTAAATTTTGTATGTGAACAAGTTGACACCTTAGCTTGTATAAAATTGGCCACGTAAACACAAATATTGACGTGGCACATGAATTTCGAGGTGTCTATATGATTGTTTTGTAAGTTGGAATGTTCAACTGACAAAGTGAAGACAAGTTGAGGTACCTAGTGTTTGGCTCAAAAGTTATTTAATACTTTTTAAGCAAATCAATCAATGTAGATGAAGGGGTAAATCGTAGTTGAAGATAATAAACCCTAGGATGGTCTTGAGTATAGAATCAGATAACAATGGTACAAATCAGATAAATGAGAGAAGTTGATAATCTTTGAAAGGTAAGAGAGAGATAATGTTAGAGAGAGAAGAGAGAGAGATATAATGTATTTCCAATCTTGAAAGAATCCCCCATTTACAAGGCTTGGATCCCTCTTTATATAATAGAGGATCCTTGCTTGAATATTAAAAGACAGAAAATAAAGTANTGTTCTTTCGATAGGTCATTGCCTTTTACGGCGGTCACATAATGAATCAGGTGATCTTCTGGATCCGTGGTCCCGTCGTATATTTTCAAGTACGGTGGCATCTTGAAGGTTTTAGGGATTGGGTGAGGAGCAGCTTCCTCACTATACGGTTGCTCGACGAATCTTCCCATATCGCGTTTCGGTAGTAGCTTAGGGGCACCAGGTATCTTGTCTACCCTTTCCTGGTGCTCCTTCATTTGATCACGAAGTGCTTTGTTCTCGTTCTCCATCTCTTCCATTTTCTTAAGGATGGCTGCGAGCGCATCATTGCTTGCATTGGTATCGGTGTGGGCGTTACTTGTTCGTGCAACGCTGGGCTCACCAACGGCGGTGGCGATTTCTGCCATCGACGGATCTGTGATTGCCCTGAGGTGGTTTCTCGAGCATGCTATTTAGAGTGTTCGTCAACCATTCCTCTAGTAGCTTTTTGACTACTGGGGGCGTTTCCTTTGCTGTAGATGTAGAAGTCCCTCTCTCATGCAAAATCGTTGGATCTTCGAGTGAAGAGGGTGAGATCTCCCCCTCCGGTATGCTACTTGGTGTTATATTCGCGGTATTTTCTCTACCGGCTTCGTTGAGTGGGCCTATGAGGTTGGTTGAGACATCTGCTATCATCTTCAACCTTGACTCTTTATCTGCCATTTGTTAGTTTCTATGAGGTCTGAAGAACAGCGATGGTTGTCTTTGATATCCTAGATGTGAACTATGATTTCGACTACCGAAATCCCCACAGACGGCGCCAAATTGTTTGGAATACTTTTTGAGCAAATCAATCAATGTAGATGAAGGGGTAAATCGTAGTTGAAGATAATAAACCCTAGGATGGTCTTGAGTATAGAATCAGATAACAATGGTACAAATCAGATAAATGAGAGAAGTTGATAATCTTTGAAAGGTAAGAGAGAGATAATGTTAGAGAGAGAAGGAGAGAGATAATGTATTTCCAATCATGAAAGAATCCCCCCTTTACAAGGCTTGGATCCCTCTTTATATAATAGAGGATCCTTGCTTGAATATTAAAAGACAGAAAATAAAGTACATGCTATGGAGTGGCCGACGTGATCATGAAGTCGTCCCTCTTGTTATTCATAGGTCGCCCTCTAGCCGGACTCGCACACATTCGGTCGGTCGTGCTGGCTTGAAGAACGTGGTCGGTCAAATTCGACCCCATACACCTAGTTGTGCATACCCAGAGTTGGAGGCATACTACAGTGAAGGCCAAATTTGAGGGTCTGCTTATGTATTGTACCTATTTTTTATGGTTTAGTTTTCTTTGAATTTACATGACCATATGTATTAATTTGTCTTTTTTAGAAAATAATGATATGATTATTTACTCCTTTACATAAGTGAAAGAACAATCGAGATTACATAAGTGAAAGAACAATCGAGAGGGAATTTATAACAAGTAGTAATTATCGGTTATATGCTTCACGAAAATAAATGAAAATTTGTTATAACAGCAATAAAAGGGCGAGTGATGTAGAAGGTATGACACTTAGAAAAAAAAAGCTATTTCTTTGTTGCTCTTTTCTTTTTCTTAGTTTTGATTCGTCAAGTTTCATGTAATGTAAAAGCTCAACTAAATAGAAATTGAAATGGTAGGTCTAGA